GCAGGAATATAACTTCAGAATAAACATCAAACAGTATGACTCAGTTATATACTGACAGATTCATTAACCAGATGGAATCATTAGCAGCAGCCTTTGGGACTGGGTCACCATTTGAAATGAAGAACTGTCTGTAATAGTATATCTGATAACTGATTTAGAAAGTGCTTGGGGCATTGCCATTAGCACTAGAATTTGGGCATGTCCTAAAAGAAATCTTTTATTTCTCTCAGGTGCATGCATGGGAGCAATTTCTCCCCAGCCATGGGTGCATACCACCTTTACCCCTTTGTCAGGTCCAGCATGAAGAACCAAATTATCCAAGCAAGATCAAAATGAGAGGTAGCTTTTACAGCAGCAGCTGTAGAAATGAAGGAATCATCTCAGAATATTAAAGCATGAGTAAACTCCATAATTTGGTTGCAGTAGTTTATGTTAGATGGATTCCTTTTTAAATTTGCTTCTGATGTCTTCATAACATTAGGCCCCATGGCTAGCAATGATTTGCCACTCTTTTTGGAAACTCTTCATGCCTGAGCTTTACAGGGCAACCTGAAGTTGAGTTTTTGAAATTCTCTGCAGTTCACCCTTTTGGGAAGGAGAAGGTTCTAGAGTCACTGAGATGCACAAAAAATAGGACATTAAAAATAGACTAATTGTTAGAAATCTGTCCGATGCATCATCTTTCTGAGACTGCTTCCTCACTACAGTGCACCCCACTGGGCTGCAAGTTGCTCAGAGAGCAGGGAGGCCTTGGTTTCACGGTACAGGGATGCACGCATCTATACACCCCAATGACAATGTTCCATCTTAACTCCCGCCCTCCCAGCTGGGTGGCAGAGGAGTGGGAACACTGCACCAAAACCTGTGGGAGTTCTGGCTACCAGCTTCGCACCGTGCGCTGCCTCCAGCCTCTCCAGGATGGCACCAACCGTTCTGTGCACAGCAAGTACTGCATGGGTGACCGACCCGAGAGCCGCCGGCCCTGTAACAGAGGGCCCTGCCCAGCTCAGTGGAAAACGGGGCCTTGGAATGAGGTGGGTGTGTGAACTCCACGTGCGTGTGTCTAAAGGGTGTGGAAGCTTATGTAACATATTTTCATTTGATTTAAACATCAGATAGGCTTTGTGTGAATTGAAGCTATTGGATATTCTGCAATCACCTGGAATTGTTTGAAAAAAATTAGTACTTTAAGAGTGTTTGCATTTAAGATTAGTTTGTAAGGGCAAACATGTTTGGGTATTTCATGACATAAAGGAGTCTGACAGGTGACTTTAAAAAAACAAACAAACCAACAAACAAAAAAACCAGGTTATTACCGTATTGCGCTTGCTGGGGAGAAAGTGAGACAGTGAGTGGGAAAATGAGAAATCAACCCTGAGGGGGATTGGCCGCATCACAGTCCCTTCTCCTCCATTCTTCTCTTGGGATTTTGGCAGGCAGGCACACACACACCTGGTATGATTTTCAAGCCACCAGGTCCAGGACTTGAACTACAGTTGGCCATATGGGAGTCCAGCACCGTAATTACTATGCCACCTACTGGCCCTGGTGACAGGTCTTCTAATAATTTGACTTCCCTGTTCCTATAGGTTAAGTTCCACACTCCTGACATTCAACTGTGAGCACAAGGCCCTGCCCTAGACAAGCTGCCCTAACTCCTCTTTTTCTGTCTTTATTCTGACTCCTGGTCCCAATTCAAGTAAACTTCCACTGCTCAGGTCAGGCCAACCTCCTGCCTTTTGGCTACACCCACCCCACCCCTGACATCTCACAGTCTCCACTTCACCTGACAGGGCTCAGCTCCAGAGTCAGAAGGCCACCTTGTAGGTAGTATCTTTCTGGGCTCTTCCTCCTCTGCTCTGGAAGGCATATAGGGGGCAGCTCACCTCTGGCAGCCATGCACGGCAGAGCCCCATAATCCTGTCTAGGGCCTGTGCTTACTGCTATCCACACCTCTCTCAAAAACTCTGTGCTTTTCTTCCCATACCCACTGGCCTGTGGCTCCTGCCCAAAGATGTTTGTTTGGTGACCGCTGAGACTCAGTGTCATGTGGCCTGGATCACCACCTACCTGGTATTTCTAAAGATTCAAAAACTAGGAATATGGGGTCATGGGAGAAAAGTACATCAACAAGCAGATAGAGAGCAGGTAGGGAGCGGCCCCGGAAAGAAGGAGCAATCAAGAGAAAGTCCCCCCCTCAGAGCCCACCGAGAACTCATGTCCTGTTTCTCAGAGTCCCAGGGCTCGTCCACAACTCCTACCTACAGCAATGGCATGGAAATTTCTGGGCTTGGTGAGCAGTGAGCCTCTTCACTAGGGGCATGAATTCATGGGAGTGGAGTAATAATAGTTCCAGGGGGTTGAGTGAACCAAGGTAGCATGTCAGTCAATCCTGCCACCTATAAGGAAAGTGAAGGAGAGGGGAGACTGCCTCCCCAGAAGAGGCACCACTAGTGTTTTTTGGGAGGACAGGGGGTGTATCATCATCATGATGGCTTCTTCATGTGGAACGCTGGCTAGGTACCAGGCCTAGAAAGGGAAAGAAATGTGTCCTGGTTGATAAACGATGGCGTCAAAGTATTTCAGAACCATTGTGCTATTGCTGTAGACAGGAGCTGTGGATGAGCCCTGGGACTCTGAGGAGAAACAGGCGAGTCATTGGTGGGCTCTGAGGCGGGACCATCTCTTGATTGCTCCTTCTTTCTGGGAGCCACTCCCTACTTCCTCATTCACTCTCTACCTGCTTGTTGATGCATTTTTCTCCCATGACCCCGTGATTCGTACTTTTGAGTCTTTAGAAATACCAGGTAGGTGGTGACCCAGGCCACATGACATTGAGTCTCAGCAGTCACCAAACAAACATCTTTGGGCAAGAGCCCCAGGCCAATGGATATGGGAAGCAAAGCACAGAGCTTTTTTTTTTTTTTTTTTTTTTTTTTAGAGGATTTCGCGCTTGCCAGACAGAGAGAGAGAGAGACAGACAGACAGAGAGACAGAAAGCGAGAAATCACCCCCCAGGGGGGATGGCCATGCCACAATCCCTTTTCCTCCATTCTCCTCTCGGGATCTTGGGCACGCACGCACACGTGCCCAGCATGAGTTTAAGCCACTAGGTCCGGGACTTGAACCGCGGTCTACTACATGGGAGTCCAGCGACATAGCTATTACACTAACTGCTGGTCCCAGCACAGAGCTTTTGAGAGAGGTGTGGATAGTGGTAGGATCAGCAGGTAACATGGTGGTTAGGTTGCTAGACTCCCACATGGCTGACCATGGTTTAAGTCCCAGACCTGGCAGCTTGAAAATCACACTGAGCATGTGGGCATGAGTGCCCAAAATTCTGAGAAGATACTGGAAGAGACAGGATTGCAGTATGGCTATCACCCCTGGGTTGGGGAGAAGGAGGTGAGGGGGAAGGGTAGGATAATTCCTCCCCTTCCCTCTCACTGTCTCTTTCTCCCTCTTTCTCTCTGGCAAGCACACGTACCCTATGGAAAACAAAGCAAAACAACATAGTGCAGCACTGCATAAACCTAGAAAGAATTCCAGAGCTCGCTCTGTGTATGTGTGTGTGTGTGTGTGTGTGTGTGTGTGTGTGTGGTGTGTGTGTGTGTATGTAGGGTGTCAGTGGAATACATGTCTATAATCACAACCTTTTTTCCCCCCCTGTAGTGTTCAGTAACTTGTGGTGAAGGAACAGAGGTGAGGCAGGTTCTCTGCAGGGCTGGAGACCACTGCGATGGTGAAAAGCCTGAATCAGTTAGAGCCTGTCAGCTGCCTCCCTGCAATGGTAGGTATAACTCTGATCAACTTCACTGCTCTGACCATTGCTTGCTTTGCTTTTAATGCCAGAGAGCACACATACTCACCAGAGAGAGAAAGAGTTCCCTCAGTGGGTGCAGCCACAATCCTCCTTCCTCCATTTCTCCATCTTAACAGAGTCCTATGCATACACACATGCAGGCGAAACTAGCATATTTTTCAGGTTAATAGAACTGGGACTTAAATCACTGATGGTCGTGTGGGACCTGGCTCTCTGTGAACAGCACCTAACCACTGCACTACAGGGTCAACCTTTTGATAATGCTTTGACCTTCAGAAAGCAGACTTTACTTTCAAGGATAAGTTTGGACTTTTATATTGGCTCATCAAGAAATAACCAAAGGGAAGACCAGCAGGGCGTAAGAGTTACATCTCTGGACTCCCAGACCTAGTGGCTCAAAACTCACACGAGGCGCATATGCATGCATGCCAAAAATTCCAAGAGGAGAATGGAGGAGAAGGGATTGCAATGTGACCACCTCCCCTGGGGGGTTAGTGATCTCTCACTTCATGTCTCTCTGTCTGTCTAGCAAGCACACATGCCCTATAGCAAAAATCTCTCTCTCTCTCTCTCTTTTAAATGGATATGGGAAGCATATCCATTAAAAAAAGAAAAAAAAGAAAGAACCAAAGGATCACTTCTTGGTCCTTTGCTAAGATCAAGTGAAGAAATAACCAAAGGAAACACCCTTGAAATAGGAGCCTCATAAGGTTCCTTAGGAATGCTGTCTGAAGCAAGGTCTCACACTGTCACAGTCACTGCAGGCCTGCTGTTCCTGTGAGGTGGCAGTGCTGGGTGGGAGCTCTGCCAGGTATCTTGTTCTCTTCAGTTTGTGCTCCTAGTGGTGACTACTGAGTTTTTTCTCTGTTCTCTTATTTAGCTGTGACTTTATGTCATTGTAAAAGGCACGTCCAGAAGGCTTTGAAATATTTTACCAAATTATTCCTATTGTTATTAGACCTACTGATAATAAACGTCACAAAGTCCTAGAGCTATCAACAATAACTGTCCATATGTGGAATATTGTCAAACAGTCACCTCCTACATTCGCTAAAATTGACCATTGGCCTGATCTTCCAACTTTTTTTTAATCTTATTTTATTTGAAGTTCTTTTATACATTCAATCACATCATTTAGTTTGCAAAATGAATATTCTAACACGTTTACATTTCTTCCAGTCCAGTTGATAATACTATAAAGTTATCTTCAACAGATAGTACCCCATTTCTTTGGTCCATTAATGCTTTGCCTCTTTATTTTTCTCCTTAATGTTCTTCCTCAGACTGTATTCCTTCACCCACACTCTTCCCAAACTGTATCTGATATTCACAACCATTTATTGTGTTTCTATATCCTTTAGTCATTCAGTTTCAGTCACAGAGTACGGAAACTCGGTATGTATTAAGTGGGGACATACAATGTCTCTCCTTCATTGCCTGGCTTGTTTCACTCAGCAGTAAATCTTCTTTATTCATTCACTTTCTGTCAAAAGCCAAGGTCTTGTTTTTTTTTTTTTTTTTTTTAATGGCTGAGTAGTATTTCATAGAGTATATGTGCCACAGTTTTTCAATCCATTCATCTGTCTCTGGGCATTTGGGTTGGTTCCATGTGTTAGCAATTGTGAATAATGCCACAATAAATATCATGCAAGTACTTTTCTAAGTAAGAATTCTTCTGTCCTTTGGGTAGATACCAAAGAGTGGGATTGTTGAGTCATATGAAAATTCCATTTGTAGATTTTTGAAGAATCTCCAAATTGTTCTCCACAATGGCTGGACCAATTTACATTCAAAAAATGATAAGTGCTGGTGGGGGGTGTGGAGAAAGGGGGACTCTCTTACATTGCTGATGGGAATGTAAATTGGTCTGAACTACCAACTTCTATGTGACAAAAGCAGAGGATATTTTATTTAAGATGTAAGTCAATTTGCTTTTGTAAAACAAAACACATTCAAGGATCTCAGTCTCCATCACTGTCTCCTTCTGTGTCCTCTCTATACCAGAGTCTCTATTTGCTATCTCCAAGTTGCTGTCACCTGCTGTCTCATACAGGGTTTTTCAGCCTCATCTTTTTCTTATTCTTCTTCCCTCTCTCTCTCTCTCTCCCACTTGTGTCTCTTTCTCCTCCATTTTTCTTAGTATCCTTTTCTCCACCCTTTCATCTTCTTTCCCCATCCATGTCTCTCTCTCTTCCATCCCTCTGACTCTTGTCTTCTATTTTATTAGTCTTCTGGCTGCCATAACAAAATATCTTAAAATGGGTAATTTATAGAAAAAAATTACTACTAGGGGTCAGCAGTTGGCATGGTGGTTAAGGGCACTGGACTTCTACATGGCCAATCACAGTTCAAGTTCCAGACAGGTGGCTTGCTTTCTTGTTTATCCTCTCTCTCTCTTGCTCTGTTCCTCTCTGGTCAAATTGAAAGAAAGAGGGGGGAGGGAGAGGGAGGGAGGGAGGGAAGGAAGGAAGGAAGGAAGGAAGGAAGGAAGGAAGGAAGGAAGTTAAATAAAATAATTCTTTTAAAAATTACTTAAGAATTATTATTTATAGAGAAAAAATTATTACTCACAGTTCTAAAGTCTGGGAAGTCCAAGATCCAGGTACCAGCAGATTTGGTGTCTGGTGAGGACTTCATAGATACTTTGTGTTCACATGCTGGAAGGGGCCAGAGATCTCCCTGGAGTCTCTTCTGTAAGGGTAATCCCATTGGTGAGGGTTCTACCTTCATGCCTCCTTACCTTCCAGAGGCTCCATCTTTAATACAATCCCATTGGAGGTTAGGGTTCAACTAGGAATTTTCAGGGGGACACATACATTCAGATCATAGCACCCATGTCTGTCTTCTTCCCAGCCCCCATTCCCTACTCTTCCATCTGTTTGATTCCCTGTGTCTGTTTCCTTCATCTCTGTTTCTCTTTCTTCCTGTCCCTTCCACTGCCTTGTCTTTTCTTCTTGTCTCCCTGTCTCTCATATTTACCATCCATCTGTGTCATTTCTGTCTCACACTTCCTCTCCTGACCAACCCATTCTCCTGCACTACAACCTTCATCTGAAATGCAACCCCCCTAAATCCATGCCTCATGACAATGTGGACATTGCTTGGACACACTAGTGAGAATCAGGGCCACAGAGATTACTTGTTCCTTGACCTGCGACACCATCATGAGGCATTGGTTGCATATTCACCTCTGCTGAATGTACTATTTTTTTTCCCTAAGAAAATTGGCAAGGTACTATTTTATCAGGTGTTTCATTTTTAGAAAAAAATTCAGGCTTCAAGTCCATAAACCCTATAAATCATTCCATTATAATGCAATAGCAAAGTTAAGTATGACCACAAGGGGGAGACACAGGACTTAGATACACAGTTATTTTACTTCAGAAAGTATATTTGAAAGCTCAAAACACGAAACAAAGCAAGGAATATAATTTACTCTGAAGCTTTAAAATGTACTGTCGCTATAATATTTTATTCTTATATAGTCATTACTGTTAGGAAGATAAATACTTTGTGGATAAGTGCTATTGATCTTAATAGCTGGTTGCGTTCTGTATTTCTGCAACTGTGCCCAACTGTCACCAAGAACTTGCTTTATTCTTTCTTCGGCCAAGCAAAAAATCTTCTTTTTGTGTGTGTGTGTGTGTGTGCATCTGAGGTGCTAATAAGATAGCATTACTGTTACAGATTCTGTGTTGTTGTTGTTATTATTATTATGCTATAGGGTGTGTGCACTCTCCAGAGAGATAACAAGTGAGAACCGCCCCCCCAGGAGATGGCCATACAGCAATCCTTTCTCCTCTCAGGATTTTGGGCACACACGCGCACACACCTAGCATGAGTTTTCTAAGTCACCCAGTCTGGGGCTTGAACTGTGGTCAACTATGTGGGAATCCAGCAACGTAACCATTCCACCAATTACTAGTCCCAATTGCTTCTAACTGCTCTAATGGGCTGAAATGTAGGCTGAATGGCCAATTCTCAGAGTTAAATAAAGTCACATTTTTTCTACCATATTTCAATCAAATAAGTAATACTTTCTATCAGTGTCTCAAACTGCTATTAATATCAAATGGCCTTTAGGGACCATGTGTGAAACCCTTTCTCTGAACTTTTTATAATGATGGGGGCAGGAGGGAGTCTAACAAAGAAACTGAAAGGTCTCTATTTGTTTTTTAAGGTTTTGCCACGGCACAATGTACTCCCTAGGGGAGAGAGAGAGACACAAAAGGAAAGTGAGATATCACCCCCAAAGGGGATGGCCACACCACAATCTCTTCTCCTCCATTCTTCTCTACACACATACTTCTGGCATGATTTTCAAGCCAGCTGGGAGTCTAGTGCCTTAACTACCATGCCACCTGCTGGTCCCAGACTCAAATGTTTTAATTTTAATAATTGGTTTTGTCAGAAGGCTCCACATCAGAGATTCCTTCTTATTTGTTTGACTTTCAACCCTTCCCATCTAGCCCTAGGCAAATTACCATAAAGTTAATTTGCTCATTTTACTTTTCTCAGGTCTTAACTCCCTTTTTTTTCTCTACGTACAAGCATATTTTGACGTCGATAAGAGCCAGGCTATGAATGGCTCTTTGCAATACCAAAGTGCTCCCACTTAGAGACCTTGAGAAGAGGAATTCTCACAGGGAAACCTTCTCTAACTCAAAATAGGTCACCATTCTGAATTGTTCATAATAAACTTGTCATACATTACCCAAATTTGTGCTTTCAAAGAATTACCTGAGCATATGCAATGGTAAGCATGAAACCATTGCTCTCAAGCTAGAGCTTATTCTTTCAATAAAAATGTTATTTTTCTTTTTGTAATATATATTTTTAAATATAGTTATTTATTTAATTTAATTTGTTATTATTAATTTGGTCAGAGAGAGACAGAGAGAGAGAAAAGGAAAGTGAGAAAGCAAGCCGTCAGGTCCAGGACTCAAACTGCGGTCGGCCACATGGGAATCCAGCACCCTTAACCACCATGCCACCAGCTGGCTCCTTTTTGTAATATAGTATTAGGATTTGTTTTGCCCCAGCAGGTCTTTAGTATTTGATTTTTAAAAATATATAATGTAGACCATATGCTATTAGAAATATCCATAAAATTTTGGGACCAGCAGTTGGCGTATTGTCTATGTCACTGGCCTTCCATGTAGTTGACTGCGGTTTGGGTCCTGGACCTGGTGGCCTAAACTCACGCTGGGCACATGTGCGTGCATTCCCAAGTTCCCAAGATGAGAATGGAGGGTAAGGGATTGTAGCATGGTCATCCACCCCCCCCCGGGGGGGGGGGGGGCGGATAGGTAATTTCTCACTTTCTGTCTCTCTGTCTCTCTCTGTCTTTCTGGTGAGCACACATGCCTCCTAGCAAAAACCTTTCCAAAAAAGGAAAAAGAAATATCCATAAAAGTTTAAAAGTTTTCTGTTGTATCCTAAAAGCCTTTATAAATAGGGGCCAGCAGATGATGTAGTGATTACATTACTGGAGTTCCACATGGCCAGCCGCAGTTTGGGTCCTGTACCCAATGGCTTGAAAATCACACTGGGTGGGTGTACATGCATGCCAAAGATCCCAGGTAGAGAATGGAGGAGAAGGGATTGCAGCATAGCCATACTGCCTGGAGGGGTGGTTTCTCACTTTCTCTCCCACTGTCTTTCTCTCTCTCTGTCGAGTGCACACAACCTAAGGCAAAATCCTCTTTAAAAAAATAGTCTTTACAATGAAATGAATTTTATTTTTTCATTCTAAAATCAAATAGATGTTCCCACTTGGGGGACAAAAACACTCCATGATCTGTAGACTCCTGATGGAGATACAAAAATGGTGATCATCCCATTTTTGGAAAACTTATTTTAACTGTAATATTTTAATGGAAAGGGTTCTGTGGACAACTGTTGCTGCCAGATTTCACTTAAATTGTTCTGTTTGGTCATCAGGAAAGTCATCATGTGTTTTTGCATAGAAAAACACAGAAAAATACATCATGGCTCTCCTAGTAACCTAATGCATTCATTTACAGTTACAACCCCTTATTTCATTTAGCCATGCACATTTTCTTTGTTTTCTTTTACCTTTTGCAGATGAGCCATGTTTGGGGGACAAGTCCATATTTTGTCAAATGGAGGTGCTGGCCCGCTACTGCTCCATCCCCGGGTATAACAAATTGTGTTGTGAGTCGTGTAGCAAGCGCAGCAGCACCGTGTCACCACCCTATCTTCTAGAAGCTGCGGAAACTCAGGATGATGTTCTCTTTAACCCGGGTGACCTCTCTAGGTCTCTAGTGATGCCTACACCTTTTGTTCCTCACCATTCAGAGACCCCTACTGAGAAGAAAGCTCTGAGTAGCATCTCTTCAGTGGGACATCCAAATGCATATGCTGCTTTCAAGCCAAACAGTAAACCTGATGGTGCTCACTTACCCCAGAGGAGAACTGAGCATGCAGGAACCCAGACTCTGCGGCTGGTCTCCGTATCTTCCTCTCCACCCACCAAGAGTGGCCACCTCCGTTCAACTTCACGCATGGCTGCAGATCCCTTCCTTGCAGTCAGTGATTCCATAGGTGCTTCTTCTCAGGCAAGAACCTCAAAGAAGGATGAAAAGGTTATTGACAGGAGACATCCAGTAAGATCGTCCACCTCAGAAAGATGAGAAAGTAAAACTCCAAGGCTAACAATCAGAGGAAAACCTGGACAACCTCCCTCTCCCCATGGTGCATACAGCTAGGTTAATGTGGAAATCTCCTTAGAGCATCAACTCATTTTATCTGTACGTGGAAGAACAAAAAGTGCTGGTTCACTTTCTAGTTGCTTTCATCCTCCATTTGTTCTGCATTGACTCACTTACCAGAATTCAGTGGAAGAAAGCACCAAAGATTAGGAACAGAAGGAAAAGAAGTTGCTAAGTGTGTTGGTCACGCTCAAAAACAGAAAAGGAACTGGCACCGGGTGTGCATAGCAGCTGATTTTTTACAGTACAAATTAAGAGATGCCAACAGTTTACACTTTAACTAGAAATTTTGGAAATGGAACAAAGAATTCTTAGACTTATATACCTATTTATCTATATTAGAAATATTGTATGAGCAAATTTGCAGCTGTTGTGTAAATACTGTATATTGCAGAAATCAGTATTATTTTAAGAGATGTGTTCTCAAATGATTGTTTACTATATTACATTTCTGGGTGTTCTGGTGCCTGTCATGGAGTATTGCCTTATTTGACATTCTATAGGTTGATTTTCAAAGCAGACTATTTCAAAGAAGTTGGAATTAGAGCTACTGACAATACAAATGGTTTCATTGTATGGTTTTGTTGAGTCAACAATGTGATATCTAAGTTATAGGGAAAAAAGCGAAAGGTAAAGATAGACAGATCTCAACTTAGCCAGTGCTTTCCATTCTTAGAATGAAAAGGCGTAAGATTGATGTCTTAGTATGCTTGTGGTCACAGTAAATAGTAAGTACACTGTGCATGATAAAACAGAAATTCTGTTACCAGGACCTCTACAGGCACCCCTGAGATGTCCTGTTCTCTCCTGTTTCATTGTCGTTATTGTTGAAATTCGTCACCGTTGACATACCTGAGCACAGTTAAACGTGATGTACTGTACTGATCACAAATGAAAATGTTTGGGGATAACTTGTTTGTATGTTGGTAGCTATAAAAAGTACCAGTGAACTAGAACAAACACTTGATTGGAATAGGGCTCTGAAAACAGGTTTGAGAAAGCGCTTGTCAATGGTTACGGTATTTATTTTCTGCATGGTTCATAGCCAAATGTTCACAACCACAATGCATCTGACTGCAATAATGTGCTAGTAACTTATGTCAGTGGTCACTTTTGCTCACAGCAAAGCCAGAAATGCTCTCTCCAGGGAGTTGATGTAAAGTTCTTGTATATAGAATTCAGAACCGAAGATATTTATTAAAAGTTGTTTTCCTTCATATTATTTTTATGTACTAGATATTTACACTACTATCCATGACATACTCATATTTAGGTAAACTAGAGGGACTTAATTAGAGATGCATGCCTTGTTCGGTGCATAGAAGAGAAATTTAAGCCAATTACCACAACCAGTTTAAAGAGCTAAAATGGAACAAATCTGATGTTATACATGTTTTGCCTTTTTCAAGTAGTCGATAAAAAGTTAATGACTTCTACTCCTTCCAGGAAGCGTAAAACAGTGTGGACTCAACTAGGTATTTAATAAAATAATGAATCAGAAACATTTTTAAAAGTATGTGAAAGTAAATATTTCATAAGTTACACTTAAAAAGAAAATGTTATCAGCATAATATTTTTGAAGTCAGTACCCAAACTGTCTAATAATATAATGTGTTACCCTCTCAAAACACATGGTGTACAAGGACTTTTGCATGTTAGCCATTGTAAACTTAACAGCTCAACCCATTAACTCTATACCTCTACAGAATCGCTGCTACTTTGTGCAAGAGTGTTGAAGGTCAAACAAATTAAGTGAATTTCAGATAGGAAATCAATCCCCTGAGCCTTGTCCCCTCTCACCCCCACCCCATATGTCTCCAGAATGAAATTCTCTCTAGTTTACTCGCATGTGCATCCGTCTGGTCTACAGGGGAATATAAAGATGGTCACACACAGACACCTCCCATGAAGATGTACATATTCATTATACTGCTGACCTTTGAGCTTTCTTTTCTACTAAGCTAAAGATACCTTTTTATCAAAGTGTACACTACTGATACTGTTTGTTGTATTGGGAGCACGTACCAATAAAAATGTTAACAAAATAGAGATCTGGCTCTATCTAGATTTTTATCATTGCATTCACCACAGAGTAATGGAAACATGGCCTTTCTAACCAAGTAAAATGACATGAAATTCATTTGCTACTTGTCCTTTCTCTTAAAAGGCTCAAATTGTGACCAGCAGATGGAGTCCTAGTTATAAGGCTGGACTCCCACATAGTTGACCACAGTTTGAGTCCCAAACTTAAAACTCACAGCAGGTGCACATGCATGGGTGCCCAAGATCCTGTGAGAATGGAGGAGAAGGGATTATGGCTTAACCGTTCCTTTGGGGGATGATTTCTCACTTTCTGCCTCTCTGGAGAGTGCATGTGTCCTATAGCAAAAAAATTAAAAAAAAAAAAAACTCAAATTAACTAATAGTGCCACCTATTTTCACATCTGAGTGTATCAACATTTTTAAAAAATATAGGGGCCAGCAGACAATGTGGTGGTTGGGACACTGAACTCCTACATGGCCAACTGGTTTGGGACCTGCAGGCTTGCTTTCTCACTTCTCACACCTCTTGTCTGTTTCTCTCTGGTGAGCATACATACCCTATAGCAAACTTAAAAAATATGTTTTTTTGTTTTGTTTTGTTTTTTTTTTTTTAAAAAAAGAGGTTCAGAAGGTAGCTTTCTGCTTAAGTCTTAAAAAACTTAAAAGAAGTTAATGGTGATAACTGTAGTATTTATGAGAAGGACAAGAAACCCATATTTTTAAAGTGTTCAATGTCAGATTGACTTTTCAGTAAAGCTGCCTTCCTGTTTTGAACCCAGATTACCTGAGTATTGGTGGGGGGACATACTACTCAACACTCGGAGTATAGGGAAGAAGGGGACGTCACATGGAAGACCTTTTATTAAGTATCAGGGAGACACTATAGTGTGGTGGTTACTAGCTACGAACACAGAAGTAGACAGACTCAGGCTTGCACCCGTCCGCCATGCATACCAGTATGGCTTGGATGACCTCACTGGCTTAGCGAGTGTCCTCATTTATAAAACGAAAGGCAGACTTGTCACACATCGCTGCATGGTTACTAGGAGAAATAAGGTGATATAAGTAAAGCCATTAGCATAGGCTAATAACATAACACATAACAGCTCACAAGAAATATTTAGTATCAGGACCAGCAGATGGCATAATGGCTATGTTGCTGGACTCACATGTAGTCGACAGTGGTTCAAGTCTCAGACCCAGTGGCTTAAACTCACACTGGGCTCAGGTGTATGCATGCCCAGAATCCCAGGAGGAGAATGGAGGGGATTGCAGCATGGCCATCCCCTCAGGGGGTGATTTCTTGCTGTCTCTCTGTCTCTCTCTGTCTCTGGTGAGTGCATGTGCCCTATAGCAAAAATCCCTCTAAAAATAATAAATAAAATTAAATCTAAAAAAATGAACATTCTAATTTATAAATATGTATCAACGGTGGAGACTAAAATAGAAGTGTTGAAGTTAGGAGACAGTGGAGGAGGAACCAGAGTTCAGCTACTCATGCTCTCTTATGTTCAATGCCTTACACCCACTGTTACCTTCTTTTACCTTTGTTCTTAATTCATGTGCAATTGATGCAGAGATTCAGGACAGCCTTTATGTTTCACTATGTAGAAGGAAGATTGATAAAACCAAACAAGACATAGATAAGTAACAGGATGTACATGGTATTTAATTAGAAAAACAAAATTACGATGGAACTGGCCATGGAACATCTGATCTAAAACAAATCGCAGAAGTTAAATCTGGCAACATCGGCAAATGTTGCTGCAATAGAATCTTCAGAGTCTTAGAGCATTAATCCAGCTGCATCTGTTACAAAGGCAAAAAGGGATTTGTTCCTCTTCTCTTTCCAAATTAATGAGACAAAATACAACTATTTTCTCCAGTGAGCCACTAACAGGATACAAGGATACAGAATCCAGGGATGGTGTTTAGAATGTCACCAACTAAGACTTGCAAAGCCTTTAGAAGAGTCAGATGTTTTCTCATCAAGAAATGAAGATCAACTTCTACTCCAGCTTGAAATCTAAGTTTTCATTTTAAATATCTCAGAATTTTAGCTTCAGGAAATGGTTAATTTCTTCCACATGTATCTATTGTTTATTAAACTGCATTTCAAAATTTTCTCATACAATTCTCTGAGAAAATTCTTTCTTTTTTCTTTGTTCATTTGTTCCAAATATGTCTATTGGGTTGTCAGAAAAGTCATGACGCGTGTTTGCCTAGAAAAACATGTCATGACTTTTCCGATGACCAGATATCAGCATCAATCTGCAAAATGATTGAGCTCACATTTTGTTGTGAATTCTGAACTAGAACATAAGTGATGGAGTGCCTTGCTCTCCTAGGTTTTAAGACAATCTGGTTGTGGTTATACACAGCCTGCTGAGGTGTCAGCAGGTGGTGTGGTGGTTAAGGTGCTGGATGCTGCCACATGACTGAGCACGGTTTGAGTCCCAGACCTGGTGGCTTTCTCTCTCTTTCTCTCTCTGTCTCTCTCTCTCCCTGTATTTTTTATTAAATTAAAATAAATGAACGAATAAATTTAAAAATTAAATAAATAATTCTTTTTTTAAAAAAAGAAAGAAATCTTCCCGAAACACCTGCATTTTAAATAATGTGCAAAATGAACACAGAAATGCAGGTCAGAAAGATAATAACAGGATAACTGAAAGAATGCTTTGCTTTTCTTCCTTTCAAAAATTAATGTGCTCTCTTAACATAGGTTTCTTTTCTTTTTTTTTTTAAGAGAGCTTTTTGCAGGATCAGCCGTTAGCGTAATGGCTACGTCTCTGGACTCCCATGTAGTCAACCGCGGTTCACGTCCCGGACCCGGTGGCTTAAAACTCATGCTGGGTGCGTGTGTGTGTGTGCCTAAGATCCCGAGAGGAGAATGGAGAAGGGATTGTGGCATGACCATCCCCCCTGGGGGGTGACTTCTTGCTTTCTGTCTCTCTGTCTTTCTCTGTCTGTCTGGCGAGTGCATGCGCCCTATGGCAAAAACCTCTCCAAAAACTAAGAGAGTTTTTTGTCTATAGGGCACATGTGCTTGCCAGAGAGACAGAGAGACAGAAAGTGAGAAATCACCCACCTGGGGAGGATGGCCATGCTGCAATCTCTTCTCTGTTCACCTTTTAAGATTTGGGCACACAAACATGCATATGTGCCCGGCATGAGTTTTAAGCTGCCAGGTCCAGGACTCAAACCACGACTGACACGTGGGAGTCCAGTGACAAAATCATTATGCCATCTGCTGATCCAGAACATAGGTTACTCACATGACACCTATGAACTGAGATTGCACCAAAACGTCATAAATCTAAAAAGTGTAATTATTAAGAAATTTTCTAATGCAGGTATAGTTGGTTTTGTTTCTGTGGATTTCATTTCAGGGTATCCAGAAACCTTCTAAAATTATATGTAAAATTCTGTGCACATGTCGGTATGGATAATTCTTGGAGAGGGATTTCAATGTATTCATCAATTTAACAAAGCTGCTGTGACCCTAAGATATTTTAAGCCTCTGTTTTAATTAATTAATTTTAATTTACATTTTATGCCTTTACAGTATAAATTTATTTATTTATTTTTGGAGAGGTGTTTGCTATAGGGCATGTGTGCTCACCAGAAAGACAGAGAAAGACAGAGAGACAAAGTGAGAAATCACCCCCTCCCCAGGCGGAATGGCCACACCTTAGTCCCTTCTCCATTCACCTCTTGTATCTTGGGCATGCATGCACATGCACTCAGCATGAGTTTAAGCCACCGGGTCCGAGACTCGAACCATGGTTGACTACATGGGAGTTCAGCAACATAACCATTATGCCAACTGCTGGTCCCTACAGTTTAGATTTCTTTTTCCAAGGCAAATACCATGCATGTCAGTCAAGAGAAGAATTACTGTGTACATTATCATAAACAAATAGCTTCTCTTTTTTTTTTTTTGTCAATTAGGTATACTTTTATCCATTTTTTTCCCTTCCCCTTTCTCCTCCCTCCCTTCCATACTAAACTTTTGTTTTTCACATTTAATTGTTTCACAAAACATCTTAAAGTATGGACAAAGCTAGAATCTAGTGACAAGTGCGCTATAATTTTCTTCTGAAACATTTTTTTTTCTTTCTTCTTTCTCCCTTTTCTTAAAGAGAGATGTAAACTAACTTATTTGGAAAAAAAAGGCTAATCTCAATTTGATCTGTTATTTGCACAAAACCAAATAAGAATTCAATTTCTGTTGCAAGACAACTGATACTATTGTATTATTGAACTTATGTAAATAACCATTCTGCCACAAAATAAGAATACTCACAAATGATTTCCAATTGCAAAGGGGTCAGGAAGGGAGAAAAGTTTGTTTCGATTGAAAAAATGATTTTTTTTTAGCAAATTGCTGAACCCAACGACTCGAAAGGAAACAAAAATCCTTAAATCTGGAAGACAAGGCATGGAAGAAAATCAGTAATGTTTTAGAAAAAAGTCAAAGAATTCAATTTCACCAGTTCAGTCTCGTGTAATCTCTCTCTCTCTCTTTTTTTTTTTTTATTTGCAGTGTTAACGTGGTCTGACCTTTCCGTTAACATTCAACATTATTCGTAATATTTCAGAACTTGTCTCTACCATTAAGTCGGCCTTTCTCTTGGTCTACTGCAGATCTGGCAGCTTGAAAAACACACTGGTTGTGTGTGTGTTCATATTCCAAACACTGAGAGGAAAATGGAGGAGAAGGGATTATGGCATGGCCATCCCCAGTGGGGAGTGTTTTCTCACTTCCCCACCCCATCCCCAACAAGTTCACATACCCTATAACAAAATTAAAACAGCAATAAGCCCCGTCTCTGTCTAAATTTCTACAAAGAATAATAATGATTTGATAGTTCATTATATACGTACATGATGGCAATGCATCATCATTTTTTAAAAATTTTCTTCATAATTTTGGGTAGTATTTTATTTTAGTTATTTTTGAAGTTGAG